AACTAGATACATGTTTCTTGGACTTGAAACAGTTACAAAAAGAAGTAGTATTAACATTTATGCAACCCTCAACAAAAATCAAATAGTTAGTATATGCTGTCCTAACTTTATTTTTATTTCCGATCTTACAGTTTTTAACAAGGCATTATGATAGATTATAAAAGGTATAATGTTACCTGGATCTGCCAAAGTAATCCAAATGCTGTCTAACGACTACGCGTTTCGAAGCAGTATAAGCTTCATCTTCAGGTCGTCAAGAACACATTTCACTCATGAGAGGTCGTCAAATAAATATAATTTTTACACATACTGTACATGGACGGAGAATAGTTACTGTAGGCCTACGAACCGCGTGCGCGCACTTAGACAGGTTAGTCATGACATTATGATAGTTAGAAAACTTTCGATTTTTAGCTTCTTCACTTGATATTTTTTCTTTGTAATTTATTTAGATCGTATATTGGCTTGTTAGCTTGTTTATAAACAACTAGCAAAGTACCCGTCCTTCGTACGGGGTTGGCAATTTTAAAATGCTTATTGCAGTTACACTCAAGCTTTGCGTTTACAATGGGGGAGGACAAAGTTTGATAAAATTTGCTTCTTTAAATTGACGGTATATGGTATACTAATGGTATTACACATCTACCATAGCCAAAATGTTCTACCACTTCACCTAAACAACGAAGAAAAGAAAAATATTACGAATAAAAAAAAATCACAAATTATTCATGACATAAAAAATATAAACATAACTGTAAACAATCCTACTTTGACAGTTCTCCTTGCGTATAACAGTTTTTTGTTGCTGCTTAGTTCAAATTAGCTGTTTACATAAATGCAAAAAAATTTTAGTGCTGCAGCCTGTTGGTAAATCTTATAACTTTTTATGTTTTTGTATATCATAGAACCAACTTTTTTAGTTGAAACAGCTGACTAAATTCTTTAATTCCCATTAAATATGAATATACTCCTTAGGTTAACATGGGGAACTACAGAGCCACTGGGGCGGAGCCTGAAAGGATTTTTGAGATAAGAATATGCCTATATGTTAATCGGGAATGTGAGCTATCATCATGCCAAATTTCAGCCCGATCCGTCCAGTGGTTTATGCGTGATTGAACTTCAAATAAACAAACAAACAAACAAACACACAAACTTTCACATTTATAATATTAGTAAGATTCATATTGTTGTTCGTTATTATTGCATTACCATCATGGCAACTCATATAAGCGTAATTTAATAAATGTACAGTTAGTTTAAAAATTGTATAATTTAAATTTGATTCTACGTAAGCCTTCCCACTGTTTGTTTAAAACATAGTAGGTAAGCGTTTCTAAAATATGTTCAGCCATCATTGCGTGATGCGGTAAACAAGTCTGCATAAAGTAGATACCAAAGAGCTTCGATTAGCTGCGATCAGTAATTTTCAAATAATGTTTGGTTACAAGTTTAACCTCGGAGACACGACGAATTGTTATCCTTGACACAGTCCATCCAGAAATTCTGACAAAAAATGTCTAAAATTAAGTGAACTAACTTGTGTGCAAATTACCAGTTATCGTTATCTCTGTCGTTTTAATGATACCAATGAAACAGCTGATTATTATTAATACATTTTGAACAAGTTATTTTATATATTTTTTTTTTACTTTATTTAATTTACAATCTGTTCAAGTTGAACAATAAGCAAATGATATAAATAGTAATACAAAAATAACCTGAAGAACATGAGCTAGTGATTGACCGTCAACACTAGCAAACAAAGAGAATTTTGATAACACTTAGCCGAATCTGAATGGTAGGTCCAATATCGTATGTCGCTTCAGTCTGTAAATGGTGTTGTGATTGTCCAATAAATTAAGTGCAAGATGATTTGAATGATTTTCCAATTTTATAATGTATTTTTCACTATATTTTGTAATTTCTTCTTTTACTTGAACAAGTTATAAAATCAAGTATTTTAGGCCTACACACACACAAAACAAAGTTAAAAATAATTTACAAAATTAATCAGCCGATTTTCAGGTCTTATGACAAAATATCCCCGCCGCAGCAAACCTGCAGACTAAGCGAATTTCCACTTGTCTGATTAGAATTTTACTAAAATATTTCCATAAATAAGACATATCTATTCCCAATTTAAATAGCATTAGATTTAACAAGTGCTTAGGTTTGCTGCTACGGGGAAGGTAAAAAGTGTTTTTTACCCAACGTCAATAGTATTGTATAAAATAGATACATTTGCCAAATTTTATCAACACATATCCATAAACAAGGAAACTACGCCAGTTTTCATTTTCTCCATAAGAATAAGATGGGAATTTTAAATTTACACTTTTTTGAATTTTCTCTGTAACCATTAGGCAACAACAATGCTTCAATATACTAAATTATTTCTTTTTTTAAGCTCTACAAAATTGTTAGGAAAGATATTCCAAAATTTTATGTTTTTAGTTAGAGCAGTGTACCTACAGCCGCACGGAAGGGATTAAGAGATTAGGTCAGGTTAGGAAGAGTACAGTCAAGACAAACATTTTGCACCACACACACGCTGGCTGGCCAGGCACGGGGGAGCAGTTTACCACCTCCCGCTGTAAGACGGTTGTGACTGCTGCAAAAACTCGTCTATGGCATTGGAATTCAGTTTTGAAGCTTCAATTGCTAAAGCTCGTGTTACAGTAGATTCAAATGTTAGATCTTATTGTCTTATTTTATAATCCCTATGAGAGTCTTTATCCGTTTTGGGTCCCCCTGAACCCAAAAAAAGTGGTTTTCGAAGTGATGTCTGTGTCCGTGTGTGTGGATGTGTACGGTGCTACAGACCACATCTGTTGTCCGTTTTTGATTAAATTTGAGATGTAGGTATTAATACATGGTATCTCCAGGCATTTCTTTCATTTTTTAGAAATTTGTATTTTTAATGGTGATTTTCCCATAAAACCCATAAAATAATGGAAAAATCGGATTTTCTCTAAAATGACTAAAATGATTTTGATAAAACATTAGTATCCTGTTATTCTGAACAAAATTGTACAAATCCCATTTAAAACTGTACAAATCCCATTTCCGTAAAGATTACGGTTCAAAAGTTATTGTAACTTAAATTACAATAACCATAAAGATCGTTGGTGAAGCCACTACGGATAATTATTGTAACTAGATAACCAGTTGCTCGAAATCGAGCAAAACTTAAACTTGTAATTTTACTAAATATTATAAATGTGAAAGTTTGTGTGTTTGTTTGTTTGAAGTTCAATCACGCATTAACAACTGGACGGATTGGGCTGAAATTTAGCATGATTATAGCTCACATTCCCAATTAACATATAAGCATATTCTTATCTCAAAAATCCTTTCGGGCTCCACCCCAGTGGCTCTGTAGTTCCCCATGTTAACCTTATAAGTATTCATATTTAAAGGGAATTAATAGTTATTTGTGCAACTAGTGAGAAAAGTGAGCAATTGACTCACTCGAGAGAAATCCTTACTCACGAGCCGTAGGCGAGTGAGGAATGGTATCTCGAGTGAGGCAATTGTACTTTGAACTCGAGTTGCACATTATACTTTTCCTACAGTTACCATAAAACAAATAAATTGGTGAAGAAACATAACCTATTTTTACACAGAAGTGAACTTTTTTAGTCAGCTGTTTCAACTTAAAAAGTTGGTTCTATGATATGCAAAAGCATTAAAAAGTGATACCAACAGGGTGCACTATATATTTTTTGCATTTATGAAAACAGCCAATTTGAATTAAGCAGCAACAAAAAACTGTGATAAACGATGAGAACTAACTGTCTAAGTAGGATTGTTTACAGTTATGTTTATGTTTTTATTTCATGAATAATTTGTGATATTTTGCGAATTTTGGATAATTTATTTTTCTCTATTGTTTAGGTGAAGTGGTAGAACATTATGCCTATGGTAGATGTGTAATACTATAGAATACAGTAAATTTAAAGAAGCAAATTTTATCAAACTGTGTCATCCCTCATTGCAAACGCAAAGCTTGAGTATAACTGCAATAAGCTTTTTATTGAGTTAAGCTCTTATTCTTATACGTCGACTCTTATGCAATTCGTAATACGCAAACTCCTCCTAGACGACTGAATCAATCGTTTTCAAATTTTGCATGGTGATAAAGACCATATCGGTGAGTGCCAACATATAGATGTTATAGATCACATAGATGTTATAGATCACATAGATGTTATAGATGATATAGATCAACCCAGTGGGGCGGATTCATGAGGGAATCAGTTAGTTTTACACTGGGTCTCAAAGTTTCAATGTAAGTTTATGGAAGCAGTATTTGACACATAAACAAAGTAATATGATCAGCTGTTGACTTTTGAATGCAGTAGTCAAAGAAATAGCTGATAGCATTATTCCACAGATATTAGAACAGAAACGGTATGGATCATAAATATAATCAAATGACTAGCTTGAGATCAGATAGCTGAGCTTAAGTTCCGTGACGTAGGAAGTGGTGAAGGAAGTAGTAAAGGTGAGCTGTTCGGGGTATGGGATCTGTTTATGACCATTAGATTAAGGTATTTGCAATCCTATGATGCTATGGCAATGGAGGGAAATAGGTCCGTGACGTAGGAAGTGGTGAAGGAAGTAGTAAAGGCGAGCTGTCCGGAGTGTGGGAACTGTTTATGACGATTAGATTAAGTTATTATATTATTTTTGTAATTTAATCAATCCCGAAGGCTAATTATGAATAGCCGATGTTGGAAATTATTAGAAAATCTGTCAATTATTGTAGTTAACCCACATAAAAAGGGTTTTAATAACAAATTTATTATACCTTGAACTATATTGCAACACTCTTAGTTCTTGTCTAGCTAGGGTTTACAAGTGATGTTATTCGTATCATTATTCATAACTCATTAGTCACATTTTAAAGTAGGCCTACTGTAATATATCAGTTTACAGTAAGACATGGGGTGTGGTGTATGTTTAAGCTAATGCATAAATAAGTAGAATAGATGTATAAGTCTCAAAAATCACATTTTATTTATAGACAAAACATGATTAGTAAGTGGAGGACTGCTTGCAGCTCTCAGGAACATTGATTCTGAAGCTCTGGACAGGCTTCTTCTGGCTGAAGTCAGGGTTGGCTCCCCTGTTGATCATGCTCTTGAAGTGCTGGGTGGTAGAGCTAGGCTGCAGACACACAAACTCAACCTGCTTCTCAACAGAGCCTTGAGGCTTGCAGTTGTCAGAGCACTCGAGCTGAGGCTGAACACTGAAGCAGTCCTTGCCGTCCCTCTCGATCACTTGGATACGCTTCATGGAGCACTGGCTGTACTTGTCGTTTTGGCCTTGGTATTTCCTTCCCTTGGAAGACTTCCTGTTGGAGTTGTGGTGGGAGTTGGGGCTCTCGGCTTCCTCATCGGCCACAGCGTTACCATAGATGACGACGTCACGGTAGCACTGACCGTTGCTGATCTTCTGTTGTGCGCGCTGCTTCAGTTCCTTGGCAGGTCCCTGGCAGGAGCTGTCATCCAGAGCGTATGAAGCGGCAAACTCGAAGGGGTTCTGGAGGACACAGTCTTGAGGAGTGGTGAAGTCATCCTCAGGCTTGGTGTTGAAGGTACCGCAGAGGCCTCGCACTTCTGAGCGGTAGCTGTTCTGGGCCTTGACCTTGATGGCAGTGCCGTCGTACTGGATCTCGATGTCTTGTTGAGGAGCGTACAAGCGGATCTCACCAGCGGGAGTGGCATACATCTGGGCGTAAGCTTCTCCATCCTGGTCTTCCAGGGTAGTCAGTCTGTTCATTGACACTTGAGTCTGCTGTCCGTTGACCTTGACGTTAGCGGGGCTGTTTCCTGAGGTGGGCTGCATCTGGATAGCATTGTCACCAATAACGATCATCAATTCCTTCTCGTTGGAGGAGGAGGCATCACGGACAAGGACAGAGATTTGCTGGTCATCGTCTTCATTGGAAGCGCTGTTGCTGGTGGGGTCGTCCTTGGGAGTGTAGTGGAACATGGCGTGCCAGCACTTGCCCAGCTTAATGGGGTAGGACTTGTTGTCAAAGGTCTGAGCCTGGTTGTTGTCGATGGCACAGGTGGGGAACTGTTGTCCTCTGAAGACTTCTTGGGCGTACATCTCGAGAGGGCTGTACTCGGGGTGCATGACCACCAAGGGAGCGACGTATCTGTTGAGGCGGACATTGTTGAACTGAGCAGACAGCAGAGGAGCTCTGAGAGTGGCATTGAGAGACTTGAGATCAGGGGCGAAGTTGGCTTCCAGCTCGATCTTGTTGGATGGGTTGTTGGCGCTGATGAGATCCTCTTTCACGTATTGCCAAGCAGCGTAGCGCAGAGCAGCGTAGGCCTTGTAGGTGGCGTTCTTCAGAGAGGCGGGGACCTGGATGGGGAAAATAAGAGTTAATACGCTGTACTATTACTTAGAATTTTCATTAGTGATTTTTACTTATAACCATGTTTATTATTCTTGATCATTTGCTAAGTTATTATGACAATTACCTTGTCAAAGTGGATGTTGAGCTTGTACTGGTCCAGCAGGTTAGCCTGAGAGGTGACGTTGCGGCAAGCGTACTGGACAGTGTTGCCTTCTTGCATCTGCTGCTTGCACTTGTGAGCCAGAGGAGACTGTTCCAGGTACTGACGGCGAGCTTGGCTCTGTTGCATCTTACCCTGTTATCAGAACAATGCACAAGTTTTACTTGTATTCCCAGTCTTGTATTATTATGTTTAGCTATTTTGAAATAATAACAAGTAATTTAGTTTATTTTTTAATATTTACTTATCTGTAAACATTGGAATACTATTCAACTCTTCACTCACTTGGGACTCAGCAGTTACGGACATGCAAAAAAAATGTTTTGCCTACATACATCCACTAAAAAGATTTCAGAACTTTTTGCCACAACACACTAAACTACACTTGGTCAAATCACTTTTACTACCCACTTTCAATTACTGCAACTCAATGTTCAATGACATGACTGTGACTCAGGCGGGTATGCTCCAGCGGTCTCAAAACTACTGTTTGAGATTTGTATATGATCTGCAATGTGAGGAGCATATCACGTTATACTACCTTGAGGCAAACATGTGCTGTTTCATTAACCAGGATCATTTATTTAAAGCCTAAATTTAGTTTTAGATCAAAGAACATTTTTATATATACATCTATTTCAGGTTTGTATTTACCTTGAACTGGACACGGGCAGGTTCACCAGACATCTCACCAAAAGCAACCTCAGCGTTGAAGTAGGAGGTGGGGTCAGCATTGAGAGCCTTGTTGTAGTTCATCAGAGGAACATTGGGCATGGAGGTCTCAGCTGCAGCATAGATCTACAAAATTAAAACGAGATTGGTAAATCAGTCAATGAATAAGACTGATATTTGGGAATAAAAATATTTATGGGTTGATATTTTTTGTTATGACTAAAATAATTGAGTTTCTCTTCGGCATTTTAATTAATTGTTAAACAATTCAACAATCTACTTTGAAATCATACCTGAGCGTGCTTGTTGTCACTGTTGGTTTGGGCTGGGTTCTTCTCAGCGAAGAACAGAAGCCTGGAGGTGGCGGAGACATTGCTGGCGGCCACAGCGACGGTGGCGACGTATTCAGCGCTGGTCTGACCCTCAAACCTGGCGGCGAGGTCAAGTACATAGGCGTCACTGTCTGTAATGTTACAACATGTTTAGGGTTATAAGGCATCCAAAATCAGATAAAACTGAAGTTAAGTCATTAAACTGTAATTTTAGAAAATTTATATTTTGTAAGTTGAGGTTACGTAATTGACTCACCTTGAATGCCACGTTGGACCTTCTGCAGGAACTCCTGTTGTCTCTTCTGGGAGCCAGGAGCAGAAGAAGAAGGCTTAGCCATGTTAGCGGAGATGTTGTCGTTGGCAGAAGCGTGCTGGTTGTCGCTGTTGTCATTGTTTTCGCTACGTTCACTGTTGCGGTAGTTCTTGTTTCCACTGTGAGAGTCCCTGTTGTTGCTCTCATCCTCAGAGTTGTCAACTGAAAGGAAAAAACAACTGTCAACGTAATCTGAAATGACTTGATTTATCTGAAAAGTTATATGTATTGAGTTGTATCATTGTTATAGTCATCAACAGGCTAATGCAATACCTTATAACTAATTATAACAACGTTAATCACACAAATGTAAATTAAGCTTGGTGTCTTGTTTCAAACAATTTATGAAGAGTAATTTTAATATATGATGTTATGATCTCACGGAAAGCAGCAGAGAGTTGAGCGTATTTAGCAGTGGACTTCTGGGGGTTGTAGGCAAGAGTGATGTTGTTGACATTGATGGAGTCCTCAGCCCAAGCGTACATGACGGCTGACATGGGGTCTTGGTGCTTGTGAGCCTCGTTGTAGATGGCAGCAAAATCAAGGAACTTCTGTTCACTGTGGTAGTCAAAGTCAAAGGCAAAACCAGTGCTGTCCTGGCCGATGGTCTTGTGCATCTAGAACAGGAAATTAAAATCTTGAGTACATCTAAAAAGGTCATTTGAGAGGGTTTTAGTCTTCCAAAATTGTTCTTTTAAGAATAAAAATAACTATGGTGTTTTGAAAGATGTAAAATATTAGAAGAACAGTGTGGCATAGTATACAAACATTTCATGCCAATGGTGAATCAAGTTTGATATAGAAGCTAGAGGGAATTTATTTTCCTGTTAACAGGTACCTGGTTAGCACGGCGGACATGGACGGTGTTTCTGTTGTTGTTGTTAGCCTCATGGATCTGCTCTTGAGGGTTCTGGGCCAGTTTCAGGATGTTGTGTTTGCCAGTGTAGGGCTCAGTGCTGTACTCAAACACATTCTGCTTGTTGTGGTTGTCCAGAGGCTTGACCTGGGCAGTGATGTTGTTGTTGACGGCATCAAAGTCAATCTCAGCTCTGATGGGCAAGTTGATCTGGAAGTTCCGGTTGACTCCAGCGACGTAGTGTTGACGGTTGAAGGGAGTAACAAATCCCATTTGAGCCTGGGCACGGAAGGAGTAACTGAAATAAGACGGTTGGTGTTAATTATATCCTTAATAAAACATTTTTTGTTCTTGTTTTTCAGTTATGAGGTATATATTGAAAATTTTTTGGAATAAATTTTATGAAAACATCATGCCTTTAAAATATTGTTGTCTTTGTAGTACTGGAGAAAACGTTCAAACTAATTACAGAGTTCCTGGGATGACATATAAGCATATAACAGGATTACCATGACAAAAAAAGTCATTACTTACACAAAGTGCATGTCAATGGAGGCATTGACGGTCTGAGGGGCCTGGATCTCGTGGCTGTTTCCACTGGCAAGGTCTGGGTGGCTCTTAGCTTGAGCTTGACCTCCGATGTACATCAGAGTGGGAGTCTTGAGGGAGAAGACGAATGGAAGACCCATGGCGGTGGGGAAAGCAACAGTCACTGAGTGCTTGTTGGTGATCTTGGTGTAGTTGAAGTTCCTGCCAGTGCGGAGAGAAGCAGCAGCATTCTTGACCACTGCAATGGACAAAATCAGTTAATACAGCTGGTATTGTTTGCATAGTATATTTTGTTAAATTGTTGGATGAATATTTTAAATAAAAATAAAGTAAAGTGAACCAACAGTGTCATTTAAAGGGTAGCACAATTACTCACACTGAGGAAGCATTTCAATGGTGTGGTTGTCAAAAGCAAAGAATCGCTTTCCACCGGGTGTAGACAGATACAGACTTCCTTCAACTTGTTCTTGCTCAGGGTTCTGGATGTTCAGCATGTTGTTGATCTTATCAAAGTTCCAGTTAGAGTCGGATCCAGAGTTCTGGCGGCTTCCTTGCTTGTTGTTCCTGCGGCCAGAGGGGGAGGAAGAAGAAGAGTCGTCATCAGCGAACTGGTCGTCGATGAGGTCGGCAAGAGCATCAATGCTGGAGGTCATGGCAGCAAACTAGATAACGTAAGTTAAATTAAGAAAATATCATAGCACAATAGCAGAGTACTGATAATATATATTAATTTAAACATAAACTTGCATCGGTTTTTTATTATTATTTTATTTATGAACATTTTAATATTATAATTTTTTACATCTTATATGACTTATGCTTCCCTCTTTCTCCATGTTTTGTGTTTGTATGGTGTATAAAATCTATCTGATAAGTTGAATTTGATGGAAATGGTCCGTAACTTTCTCAGTTCCCACACTTAAAATGACCAAATTCCTGAGTTCTATTTTAACTTCCTAAATCCCTAATATATTTCTAGAAAACTTACTCCAGTAGACTGCATCTTGAAGCCTCCAAGGTTACGACGGAGAGAGTAGAAGATGTTACTAGGCAGGAAGCTGTCGTCACTGCCGATGTAGCTGACGGACTGCTTGTAGGCCAGGTTCAGTTGGTCAAACATGGAAGAGCGCATGTTCCTCTTGGAGTACTGAGCGGGCATTTGCTTGGGGTTCAGCATATTGAGAGCAGACTGAGCGTTCATTCTCCTAATGAAATGTGCTCAAAATTAGTACAATTCTTAAGCAAGACAACTTTTATTAACTTCTCTAGACCTTGATATTTTTCTGTTTGTTGTGTTTTCCAAAAACTAACAGTAAATCTATGTGAATACTTACAATTGAGCATGGTTACGGTTCTTCAAGTTCCTAGCAGCACTTTCGATGGAAGACTTGACAGCAGAGATGACTTGAGGGTCCTGGTCGTCATTGGTGAACTGAGCCATGCGCTGGAGGATCTGTGCAGGAGGGTTGGTCTTCATGAGTTGGTAAACAGCAGCAACTCTGAGCTCAGTAGCTTCTCCAGTGTTCTGGTAGATCCTGAAGAGGACAGGACGAGCAACCTTGGGGTATGTCTTAGCCAGCTTGTTGAGAGCAACAACGATGGTCAGACGCTGGAAGTGAGTCATGGGCTCCTTGCCTTCCAGGTAAGGCTCGAAGACCTTGAGGATTCTAGGGTGAGCAAAGTTTCCGAGGGCCAGAGTCAGAGTACGGATCTTGATGCTGTCTTCTTGCTTGACGGCCTGCTTGAGAGCTTGAGCGAAGTAGGGGATGTACTGCTGGACAACGGGCTGCTCCTTCTTGGGCTTGAGGGCTCCAAAGACGTGGACAGGGAAACGGTTGTAGGCAGTGGAGTTGCTGACAAAAGCCTTACGGGCCAACTCAGAGAAGGACAGCATGGCAGAGGTGTTAAGGAACTGCTGGTGCTGGACTTCAGAGCTGGTGGTCAGAGCCTGAAATTCAAAATAGCTTTTTAATTAAATGTCAAGACTAGTAAGAGCACATAGCACTGGATTAATTAACTAACTTTTACTAACTTTTGATACTGATACTAACTAACTTTTTAAGAAACTGTTACACCATATGATTTTTCTTAAACATGAAAAATAGCTTACTAGCTTACTAAAAAGGAAGCTTGATACCAATTAAAATAGTAATAGTTAGTTTAAGGGACATATTGTAAATTAATAAATGTATTGAGAGGTAAAATAGTTTCTCTGATGGTTATTCTCATATTGGCACTGTTACTTACAAAGAAAGCGTTCATGTACTCAGTGTTGGGGAAGCGAGCAGAGTTGGGAAGAGCAGACAGAAGCTCAGCAGCTTCGTTTCCTTGAACCTTCTTAGACTGGATCCATTCCTTGATGGTGAGAAGAGCGGGGCCAGTACCGGCCTGAGCAACGGCATCACGGAAAGCAACCCTGAAATATAAATTGTTATTATTAAATCAATAATTAATAACTGAACAATTAGTTATGAAACCCAGCTTGGTGTTATAATACCATATACATAATATAACCAAATTTAAATGTTTGTAATGAAAAGATTACAATAAAAAATACTTTCTCTGCAAAATATTTATCCCAAAACCTACTAATTCAGTAATTGTATCTTACCAGGATTGGTATTTCTGGGCATCACTGGAGCTAGAGCTGGAGGCCTTGGACAGAGGGAAGTAAAGCTCTTTGCTGGCTTCTTCCATCTGCTTCTGGTTCATGGTTCTCAGAACTCGGGACAGCACAGTGAACTTCTTCAGGGTTTTCTGGCCGGGAATAGCGCTAGGGGTCTGGATCTCTTGACCGATTTGGTAGGCAATCTTCTTGACAATGGAAACAGCATTGATCTCCTTGGCAGCTTGGATAGTGTTTCCTTGGTTTCCAACAAACATAGGCAGGAAGGGGATCTTAGGGGCCTCATTCAGCTTGGGCTTTGGTTGCCAGCTCTCTTCTTCGCTGCTGTCCCAAGACCAGCTGGAAGAGCTGCTGCTGTCACTATCACTGGAGTCAGAACTAGAAGAGCTGGAGGAAGATGAGGAGGAAGATTCAGAGGATTCGGCTGAGTTCTTGTTGGATCCCTGAGCATTCCTCATCTTTCCGTATCGGCTCTCATTGCTACTGCTGTCAGAGGAGGAGGAGGAAGAAGAGGAAGAAGAGTCAGAGTTGTTGTGGTTCCAATTCTTTCTTTTCTGGTTGTTCCAGTCTTCATCATTGGCTCTGCTGTCACGGTTTCTCCTCTCTTGCTGGTTGTTCTTGCTGTGCTTATTGTTCCAGTTGTCCTGGTTGTCAGAGCTTTGGTTGTTCCACTCATCATCGTTGTTGTTCCTCCTGTGTTGGTTGTCTACAGATCGTGCCTGTCTGTTGGAACGCTTCTGATCTTCGTTGTTGTTGCGGTTGTTCTTCTTGGAGTTTTGAAACTCATTAGACTCGCTGGAGCTGGAGCTGGAGCTAGAGCTGGAGCTAGAAGAGCTGCTGGAGCTGGAGTCGTTCTCGTTGTATTGCCTGTCTTGCCTCTGCTGGTTGTTCTCATCGGAGGAGGCAGGGTTGTACTCGTAGACCAAGTTCTTGATGGTCTGGGGGTTGGGGGGAGACTGAGGAGAGCCACTGGCAGACTTGACGTCGACCAACGTCAGGTTCATGCGACTGACGACCATGCCGTTCTGCTTGTCAAACAGGAAGGGGCTGGCAATGATCTTGTTGGTGGTGACAGAAGACTGGATGGTGTAGCGTTGCAGATTACCAGAGATAACCACTCGGCTCACAGAAGACCTGGCGAGGAATTGTCCCATCTGGTTGGAGGCGGGTTCCCAGTCAGTAAGACCGGTGATGCCGAAGTGGTAGTCAGACTGGACGTCGCAGTTGCTGAAGTTCCTGGTCTTGACGATGTCAATGAGTTGTCCATCGGCTTGGAGCTGGGGCATGGGAGCGAGCTGAGGCTTGTTCTCAAGAACCACCTTGGGGAGGGGAGAGACGTCGTACAAGGTCTCACACTCTCCACCGACAGAGTCTTCCATGGTCTTGTAGACACCGTTGACATTCTCCTTGTTGGGGAGGCTGTTGATGCGGGACTTCTGAAGGTTCTCAGCACGAGTGTCAACCTGCAGCTGGCTAGCAATACTCTTGAGCATGTTCAACTCCCAGGTGGGGATGTTCTTGCTCACCACCATGGCGTCGATCTGTAGAAAGGCATACATGTAATAATACAGGATCCAAAGTATTTGTAATTTTTTTTTTAACATTAGTCATTTTATTTTGATTATTATCTCTTACAAGTAATTATTTAAAACAAATTTGCTATAAATAGGTATAGCACCATTAAATTGGAAAACACATTCACTCTGTTTTTAATACTAGGTTCAAACAACACAGTGATTCAATTTTTAACATCATTATCATATTGACTTTTAAAATTATGTTAGCATAGCTAAAGAAATGATCGTCTTTAGAGTTAATAAGAGAACAAATAATCTTAAATGATAGAGTAAGTTTCTGTTAACAAGCCCAAATTTCTGTACCATTTACCCAAGACAGTAACTTGTATTTCTACTGTACTTACAGCTCCATTCTTGTACTTGAGTTCGAAGGGCTTGTTGCTCAAGGGCATCTGCTGGTAGTGCAGCTGGTTCTCAGGGACGGGTGACCACCAGCCCTGTGACAGGTTGGCGTGCACATCGGCGTACTCGGCAGAGTTCACCTGCAAACATTGTCACATCATATCACTACTGCAATAACAATAATTTGGTCTCAATGATTTGAATTTTTATGTAAATATTAATTAATTATGATTACAGCACTAGGGGTTCACATAAACATTTTACAGTCAAACCTGAATGATTATGTGACAATAAGATTATTTAATTATTAGGTACTCTATTTTATACTCCATCCATTTCAATTATCACCATGATTTTAATAGGGCATCAACATGAATTTATAATTTAAATGACAGATGCCTGCGTAGTGGGGGAAAGGAGCTTTGCTTATGTCAACGATCACATAAGACCAATAGATGGAGCACGCCTATCTAACTAACATTTAAGCAGCTGAAGCCAGGTCCACCATCTTACTGTAGGATAGAAGTGCTAGATGCCGATGACAACAGCACCAAAACTCAATGTTCCGCTTCAAAATAACTTGACATTTAGCCTACTTAGACTTAAGGTAAATCGTTAAAACTTTGTATGAGAGATGTCAATAAGTCTAGGACACTATTCGTTCTAATTAAAAGCTTAAGTTTGTCGGGTGTTACTTTTTTACATTTGGTTAGGTAAGTTAAAAACGGTGGATTTTGTAGCTAAAGAGTTAAAAATTTTGGATCATATTTTTTTTAAATTTTTAGCTGGTGTAGTTTGGTTGTAATTTAAATTGTACTATATAGGGGCAACTCGCCGCACCGCGTTGCGTCATGCGGGCAGATTCTGCCTAAAACCTCACTTGTAATACAGTTTAGATACTCAAGTTTGGAGCTATACAGAAAAATTACTAAACTAATTAGAAAAACATGGAGTACAAATGTTCTTCGTTTAATTCTTTGTATTCATCTAAAAATTAATATTTTTTAGCTTTTACACAAAAATTAATATGACAGTCAGAATATTAATGAGAGTTGTATGAAGGATTTCAGAAAATATCTTCTGACTTTGAAAATTCGTACATTGTAAACCAAATGCCAGGGAACTTTATCAAAATGTACGATATAGATGCATATATTATAAATTATTTTAATTATAAGTTATTTTGGTACTTCAAACTGTGTGCAGTAATATTTCATTCAGTTGTTGACATGATAGACGAGCAAATTACATATGAAAAGTAATACTTTTTATAAACCTCACAAAGTATATCAATTATAGATGGTTTAACTTTCATGACTTTTCTACCTCATTGCTTGTAATTCACCAAGTGTAATTTAACTAAACGGGGTGAACAGTAATTACAGATGAACAGTTGAGCCTTTACATACCTGGACGGAGACAATGTTGTCAGATTTCTGTTGGACGTTGACGGAAGCCTTCATGACAATTCCTGCATACTGGCCTGCCACCTGGTGAAGGGCAGTCAAAGTGCGACCTCGCACTGTGTACTTGTACTGGGTGTTGGATTTCCATGGTGCTGCAAATTCAAAAGATTTATTTAACATATTATTTGGTAAGTATATTAGTTGTATGAAACTTCTAAAAAAAATTAAGATTACAGTTCTATATAGGTAATGCAAAACTAACAGAGCCATTTATAAAAATTAGATTTGTTTGTAACCTAATCAGATTTTATCGGGATGAATTTAAATAGTCTTTAAAAACAGCCAGTGCTTGCACATTTTAAAGGGATTAAACCTTTGATTCCACTGCATAACAAATTCAATGCAATACCCTTTTATCTTTCAAAAATTAGGTTTGTTTAAGATAATGATTTGTAACAAAACTACTAATTCACAATAAATTAAATTCATTAATTTTAGATAAACATAAAAAGTGATTTACCTATCTCAATCAGGCGTTTATCACTAAATGTTGACAAGGCTATTTAAAATCCATTTTCATAAACTATAGCTATTTACATTACAAGTGTAGTAAGAGCGTTTTTACATCACGCAGGTGAAAGTTGTGCAACGAGCGAAGCGAGTTGCATAATTTACCTAAGTGATGTAAACACGCTCTTGCGTAACGTGTAACGTACAAGATTTTACCTGACCCGACAATATACAGGAGGTTACGAACAATATTTTTCATTACCCATTTCACTCATCTTATAACAGTAAGGTTCATTTACAAACAAAAGCTAGGTTAGGAAAATTCTCCAAAACATAACAATAACAATAAAATTCAAGCACACAGCTGATTTCTAGCGTTAAACGTCGTTGGCTCCATAGAGTTATATTTTTTAAGTTATCCACTCAATGTTATTTAAATGGGTTTCATTACATCACCGAGTGAGTTTTTTGATACTTTACATCACTCGAGAAGTAAGGAAGTTGTATACATCACGCTTAGGATAGGGAAGTTTAACATGGCGGGTTAGGTAAAACTGTTTTACCTCTTGTTTACAATCAGACTGTGGTTAAAAATTCAACAGGAGGATCAGCTGTTATATTATAATTCATCACAATAAAATCACTATGAAGAAAGTTGGTCAGCATCCCTGGATCTTTGAAAGTTAACAACTCTAGAAATACCTATATAAATTAAATAAATGAAAGCGGGCGAAGCCCCTTAAGTAGATTATCTATTTTGTTAGCATTTGTCCTACCATTAGATCATAAGCTTTAAAAATTAATTATCATTGTAAAAATTGAACATTTTAAGTGTATGTTTATGGGGGTGTGACTTGTAGTTTTCTCAAAAGTTCATGGGTACTTTGAGATTCATACAGGGTGTCCCGTAACTCTCTAGACACATGTATATAGCGTTATTGCTTAGGTCAAGACAAACAAATTTCACCATAGGAACATGGGTCTGTGGTGTCTAGTTTACCGACTGTCGGCATTTATGTGTTTTTTACAAAAACATTAATAACTCCTAAACGGTTTGAGATACAGCTTTGATATTTTGCAAAAATGTTAATCTTATTAAGACCTATTATCGTTAGAAATTATACTAAAAATATTAACCGTTTCAAAATGGCGGCCATTTAAAATATTTGATGCCAAATTTCACAAAAACCGTTAACTTTACAAAAACATTGCAAGAGACAAAAAAGTTTGTAAATTTTATTTAGTTTTCAGATTGGAAAAATAACAACAGAGAAACGTGTTGTTTTCGTAATGTATGACCACTTTTCTCCATTTAAACAATAAAAAATGCTAATATACTCCTTTTACGTTGTTTAGCATTGTTTAAATGGAGAAAAGTGGTCATACATTACAAAAACAACACGTTTCTCTGTTATTATTTATCCAATCTTAACAAATAAGGTATCATTGAAAATTAAATAAAATTTACTAACTTTTTTGTCTCTTGCAACTTTTTTGTAAAGTTAACGGTTTTTGTGAAATTTGGCATCAAATATTTTAAATGGCCGCCATTTTGAAACGGTTAATGATTTTTTAGTATAATTTCTAACGATAATAGGTGTTAATAAGATTAACATTTTTGCAAAATATCATTTAGTTGTATCTCAAACCGTTTAGGAGGTTATTAGTTTTTTTGTAAAAAACACTTAAATACCGACAGTCGGTAAACGACACCACAGACCCATGTTCCTATGGTGAAATGTGATTGTCTTGACCTAAGGAATAACGCTATGGTACAAGTGTCCAGAGAGTTACGGGACACCCTGTATATGGAGTATTATACCAGCTGTTTCGACTATACAAAGTTGGTTCTATGATATTCAATAGCATTAAAACGTTATAGAGTTTACCAATAGGAAGCAGCACTATTACTTTTTTTCATTTATGACAACAGCTAATTTGAACCAAGCAGCAAAAAAAAAAAAAAAAACTGTGATACACAATGGGAACTGGCAGAGTAGGCTTTTTTACAGTTATGCTTATGTTTTTGATTTATAAAAAAATTGTGATACCTATTGTGCGAATATTTGGTAATTTACTTTTTTCTGTTGTTTAGGTGCAGTGGTAGAACATTATTATGGCTATGGTAGATATGTTATACTATAGCATACCGTAAATTGAAAGAACCAAATGTTCTCAAACCGTGTCATTCCATTGCAAACTCAAATCACGAGTAACTGCAATAAGCATACGCCAACCTCGTACGGAGGACGGGTACTCTGCTAGTACTTAAATAAACAATTACAAATTTTGAGTTCATCCAGGGCATAGTTTGGATCTTTGTGAATATTTTACAGTTTGAGTAAAAATAATATTTCATGGAAAAATTCACAAAAGCTGCAATAACTTTAGAACCATAATGTTTACAGCAATGGGAGTTGTACCATTTTATTTACAATCATAAGGAGCATAAAATACTAAATGTTAACTAAAATCAGTCTGGCCGTTTTTTAAATTAGATTTTTCTGATATTTTATGAGAATATCACCAAAATATTAATAACTTTTGAACCGTAATTTTTACAGATATTGGAGTTGTACAGTTTTGTTTAGAGTTAAAAGAACTATAACATACTAAATTGTAATCAAAACAGTTCTGGCCACTTTTGTGAAAACTCAAATTTTCTGTTATTTTATGGGTTTTATGGGTAAATCATCATCTAAAATCAAAATTTCAAAAACATTAGCAAAGACCAACTGGAGACCATGGATAAGAATACCAAATTTCATGAAAATTTGACCACAGGTTTGGCTGTAGCTCTGTACAGACACACACACACACACAGCCATCACTTTGAAAATCACTTTTTTGGGCTCAGGGGAACCAAAAACAGATATATCCACCCAAAACTTAAACTAAAAAAATGTTGATGAAAACAATACTTTCTCCAAAAATGTGTCACTATTCAAGGACTCATCCTTCACCCAGCCTTAAAATATGCGACCTTTATTTAATCATAACTTCTACTCACAGTTCTCTGCCTGTGCAGCAACTGCAACTGGAACAAATAAAAAGAATAATTAATTATTATAAATTTATTTGTAACCTAAAGTATTTTTATGTTAATGTGTTATAATAAAATAGATCTAAAATTTTTTCTAATGAACTAAAATAAATATGTCTAGAATATTCAGATTCATATCATATTATGTAGCATAAGGGTGGAAAAAAAGTTCTGGGACGGTTAAATATTTAAAAATAATAATTACCATAGAGCTATACAAAACTTGATTCAAAGTTACTAGGCATTAAAATCATTTTAACCCATTATTCAGTCAGTGATGCGCTACTCCCTCAGGGGGACGGCCCGCTAGGAGTCAAAATAAAATCTTAAATGTAAGCATAGGTTGATTGATATGCACATCAAAATTTAATTAAATGACTGCAAATTTGAATTAAAATGGACATTTAGTCAAAAATGGTAGCCGTTTGGACATTTTTTTATCTGACATTTTGAATTTTTAAACGGCTGCCGTTTTTTACTCAGTTGTTCTTTAATTTGAACTTAAATTTGCGGCATTGTATACCTTTAGTTTGATGTGCATATCGACCTATGCTTACGTTATGATTTTCTATCTACTTCTACCCTAAGGAGTTTAAGATATGAAATTCAGCAAAGGGAATTAATTAAAAAGTGTTTTGCCCATGACATGTTTTCTGCAACATCATTGTCTGGGATATTGCGAATATCCCAGTCCACGCTGGACCAATGGGGGTGTTTTAAAATATTTAAATAAATTTAATAAATTGATGTTACATTTGTAGCCAGTTAGAAATTAAAGGAAATTAGAACTATAAATAAACAGCGAAATTACAGCTGTCTAATTGTGTATACAATTTTGAGAATTACTTTCTTTGTTAGACAAGAGTTTTAGATGAATGTTATAGAGTTTGTAAAATATTTCAACTTACCCAGGAGACAAAGTACCAGTGGAGTCCACATGTTGTGCTACTCCTGTGTCTGTCCATGGTCTCTGTGCAGAGGTCTTATATACCATTGTTATCAAGAAGCTGAGTCAACTTGCTGAGTTCTCACTGATAACTGCCATGTGGAGCTCTTTGCCCATTCAAACTATTGGGTTTCACAATTTACTGTTTCAAATACCTATACTTTGTACTCTCAATAATAACTTTATTTGTATGTGAACATTTCCCATAGCGAACAAAATTATTAGGTATTAACACAATTTATTTGTGTTGGTATACCCTATAGTAGTGAAAATTTTGAGAGAATAAAGTGAAATAGAGAGCTATTAAAGTGATGCTGATGTGTGTTTTAAAATACAGCAACTCTATGATTTAGTTTGAACATAAAACTGATTTAAAAGCGTAAACCTACTTACTTTCAAACCCCTACTTTTGATGTTAATAGATCCCTAAGAATATGAAAACATACCTTAGTGTAGTAATAGCATCAATTAAAATGCTTCATATTGATGCTTCATGAATGACATGTTTTAAAATTTTCTTCAATTTTAGTCAAGCCTCTTCACATGTAGTTTACTATATAAATTAAAAAATGAAACTTTGAGCAATACTTTACAAAACATATACAACCTCACTTTTGTTATATATTGTATATGTATATATTTTAATCAAATTTGGTAATTTTGTTTATTTCATTCTAAGCTATCAACATTTCAATAAAAAAAAAACTCAATACCTTCCCTGTAGCAGCAAACATAAGTACTCATTAAAATTAGTATTATTTATATAGGAAATAAATTTGACAATTTTAAGAGAATATTTTAGTAGAAATCCAGCCAGGTCATTGAAAAAGCTAATTTGATTGGAAATTGCAGCCGTCGGAATTGAAATGGTAAATTTGTTGGCACAATAGGGATTTAAGGTATTAAAACTTCTTCTCCTTTTAAAGGCCCAGTTATAATTTTAGCTTTTATGATGTTTCTGCCTGGTTCCATTGCAATATTAGTATTATTTATATAGGAAATAAATTTGACTATTTTAAGAGAATATTTTAGTAGAAATCCAGCCAGAGGTCATTGAAAAAGCTAATTTGATTGGAAATTGCAGCCGTCGGAATTGAAATGGTAAATTTGTTGGCACAATAGGGATTTAAGGTATTAAAACTTCTTCTCCTTTTAAAGGCCCAGTTATAATTTTAGCTTTTATGATGTTTCTGCCTGATTCCATTGCACAGTCTTGGTGCTTCTAAATTTCTCATTAAGATCACTGGAGCTCCCACCTTAAACACCAGCCAATTCCAAAGAGTTTAAAAACTCTTGTGGGTAGTTAACAGTATCATCATCTGTGATGGCAGTATCAATTGATGGGTAGACACATGGGTGTTACGGTCTAATCTCTGGATGATTTGGTTGTTCAACCTGGAAACTGTTTCATTTTTTGGAACCAATATTGCTCTTTCAAACACCCACTTATCGTTCATGATATTTGTTTGGAGGTCAGGGAAAACTTTGCTAATTAGTGCATCGGGTTGACAGAATTCATTTCTTAAAGTAATTTTGCCTTCCGAATCGGTTTTAATTTGATGTTTTCCAATTTTCAATAGATTTTGGGCAAATGTGCCAGCGTCTTCATCATTGAAAAGTTGAACTCGCGTGTTGGTTGTAAAGGACAATTTTTCTATCTTGGCCCACAAAGAAGATGATTTTAAACACAAATCAATTTCATCTGTGGGGGTTCCTCTCTCAATAAATCATGGAGTAGCCAAGTTAATCATGTTGTTAAGACTATTTATAAAAATCTGTACCAGTTTAGACGACTCAGTTTTCAACCCTCATTTGATATAAGAAAAAACTGATTTCTACTCTTGTATTTCCTGTGATAGATTATGTTATTGTGTCATATACTGTAATATTAATGATGAACTGACTAATGAGTTACAAAAGGCACAGAACGCTTGAATTCGTTACATATTTAGGATGACGTTACATATTTAGGATGAGGTGTGACGAATACGTTACGCCTTTATTATAAGAGATTGGGTTGGCTCAAAGTAAAAGAAAGAAAAGAGATAAGAGTTTTGAGTTTAGCATTTAAAATAATTAAATACTCTAAGCCTGAATACTTAAACAAATACTATCTAACATTGCATAACGTTCATCAAAGGATGACTAGATTTGGACAGGAAATCTGACAATTTCCCATTCATAGGACTCAAACATACACGAATTCCTTTGATTAACATGAACAACCGAATGCAGCTATGAGTGGGAAACATTTGTAGAAATCAGTATACAAATATTTACAAGAAATGTTGATTGTATAGAACTGTTATGTACATCGTAAGTATTTCATTAGTTACATAATCCTTGAGTTGACTCTTTAACCTCATCAGAACTCCATTAATACTTTATTATTTTGTGTGTTTATGTAGGATATGGGATTTGGGCGGACATTCACTTATCCCTAGGACCTCCCTGGGATATGCCGCGGAAATTATGGGATGTCCAGGGGATATTCTGTATATCCTGATGGGACATTTTGGGGATATTCCTTGGATATCCTTGTGCGATTTGTCATCCTTATGGAACAGCTGAAGCAAATTTTATTGTTAGTTCTGTACATAGCACTGAAGAGGTTGTGTTTTGTTTACAATTTGTTTCTTGTTATTTTCCGTATTTTAAAACCTTGTTTAACCAAATTGAACGATCTAATCATAAACAATAAATGGTCTCCTAGTTATTTACCCAAACACTAGCACAAATCATGAAAATAACCCTAAAATAATAAAAACAACATTTTGTCTACACTAGCGATAAGTGTCGACGTAGATGAACAGGTCAGGAAACACAAGCTTCAAAATTTAAAATGGAATTAAAAGTCTACTTGTGTTGTTTAGTCTGTGATACTACTTAGTTGATATCACTTTTCAAATAAACAACTTTTGAAGGTCTGTCATCGGCACTAAGCCACCACTTCCCTATATAACTAGAATACTAATTACTGGGCTGCTGAGTGAAATACTATAGAGACACTTCTAAGAGATTGCATGGTTAATATTGTGTCCTTTAAAGGGAATTCCGCACCATCATGAGCGTATTTATGAACTGGCAGTCTAAATACATGTAGTCCTTCTTTAGTAGTAAATCCATCCTTACCAAGCTTGTCCTTACTTTACTAAGCTAAACTATTCTACATAACCTAATCCTGAGGAACCTTGCTGAACCAAGCCCAGGGCCGGTTCAACCCATACGCGAACTAGGCGGTCGCATTTGGCACCACGAAAAAGTGCCGCCAACGGGACACATTTTTTTTAGATGACAAAATTGGAAACAACTTTACTGACAAGTGAACAACTTAATTTTGTTTTTTTTTTCGCTCTGAGTTTCAAGGCATTTGTTCTGTTTGTACCAACAGCACTTGAAAAATGTGATGAATTTTATTATACTTTTACAGCACTTCAACTCAAGTTCTCATGGCATTAACTTGCAGTTTCGATTTGTGCAGCGTACAGCGTACAGCGCGGCACCTGATGTGGGTTTCTTTACATGACTCATGCTCGAGATAAGCGCGCAGCACCATTTGTCACAACAAGAAACTTCCCTCTCCCCTCCTAGAGCAGAGCAGTACCATAACCGTATCGATCATATTGGTATTGTTTTGATGATTGTTGAAACTCAAGACGTATTATTAAGGTCTACGATCTTGCAGAAGCGCTTCATTGGCTTATCACTAATGGCAATAGACAATTATGTTCTAAACCAGATTGATACTGACTCAGTAATTAAAGAATTTGCCAAGAACAAAGCTAGGAGAATTAATTTTTAACTGGTAAGAACTTTTGAACTGTTCAAATTGAACATTGTACTAACATTTCTGTGAATAATAAACAGTAGTTGAAAAAAGTCTTTTATTACAATATTCTTCTAAACTAAACTTATAAAAAATTCTTCCCAAAAAATTTCACAAATAGGGTTAAGCTATGTTCATGGGTGGTGAGGGGTGGGGGGGGGATTCTAGGTGGTGCTGATTCGGGTGTTCGCTTAACTCTGAAAAATTCCTACAACCGGCCCTGACCAAGCCTCTAGAACGTTAGCAAACACTTTTTAATTCAAAATCGTGACTGTATGAGGTAATTTGAATGAATGTTGGATTAGGTAAGGTAAAGTTTATGCTATAAATGAGCCGAGTTGTTAGTTTATATGTTACCTAAAGACTGTTTTTGTACAATTAAAACCCTTAGAAGGAATACGACAAAAATATTAAAAGCACAGTTAATTTTACAAAATGAAAGCAAGGAAATGGGTTTTACATTTTTTTAATACATTCAATAAATAAGGGAAATTATGTTTAACACATGCTGATAATTAAGTCTCTAGGTTTATTCTTATATCGCACATTCATAAGTTTCGGAAGTTTTAAAAAACTTATATTTAGTCTTCTTTTAAAATGTAACCAGAGATAATCCTTGCTACCATATATAATTTTTTTAGGGGGGAGTCAGAATGTTTTACGCTTACACTAGAAAAATGTTAAGAACTGGCCCTTTGTGTAAACTGGCTTTAGATTTTTACTTTCTCCCCCTATACCATAGTATATGGAGCAAGTATTGTTTTGAAGTTGGTTCTATGATATTAAATAGCATTAAAAAGTTATAAGCATAGGTACAGAGTCCAGCACTATTATTTTTTTTGCATTTATGACAACAGCTAATTTGGAGCAGCAGTAAACAAAAAGCTATAATACACAATGAGAACTGTCAAAGTAAGATTGTTTGCAGTTATGTTCATGTTTTAAATTTAATAATTGGTGACAAACACTCAACAGAAATACTTGGTGTGTGTTTGAAAATGATGCAATGCAATACAACACTATACTATAGACAACACAAAATTATTAAAAATATATTTAATTGATAGAGAGTGTATACACTGCAGAGCATTAAAATGGGGAAATGAGCCTGCTGGAATGTGTTGTTCTGGTAGAAAAGTTTTTTTTACCTGCATTAGAAGAGCTTATCTACATCTATGAAAAAGCTATACCT